GATCTCCCCAAAACCCCAAAACCCCAAAACCCCAAAACCCCTTGGATAAAATTTAAGGGAATTTTAATATAAAATACTTTTATTATAATTGACCTATTAAAAATTTAGTTTATATTTCACATCAAGCGTATTAATAAGCAGTAAATAACTTCTAATTTAAATTTATCTCCTCATTTAAAAACTTTTTCCAGTAAAGACCCTGACAATGTGTTCAATTTAGTATTTTAAGATGTATTGTTGAATGTTTGTCCAAGTCTGTTATTAAGATCTCCTCCGACATTTTAAGTGCTAGTTCCCTTCAGCTCATTTAGTTTTTTCTCATATTCATAGATTTTCTTTTCTAAGTACTGCTTGTTATGCTGAATGTCCTAGAGCTTGTGCTTCATATCAAAGAGTGAGCCCTTGCTGCTGTCCTTAACCAGCTTTTACTTCGGAGTATGAGCCTAGCTTATCTTTCCTCCACCTGAGATGACCTTGCCTGTTATTTGTGCAGTTATACTCTCTCCAGCGTTAATGTTCTCATTGTTTCCCATAGCTGTATTATTACTGTAATGATTCTTGTCATATTTATTTTGACCAAGTGCTTGATTTAGCTAGTTAAAGTTTTTAGATGCAAGCTAGCTATTGGTTGTAGTCTAGGATTATTGAATGCCTTTAGTCATTTACTTCAATGGCGATTTGTTTGTTTAATCGATAAATACTGTATGGTTAAGTGCGTCAAGTGGGTGATCAAAGCACTCAATAGATCTCTAATTGGGCATTAGGTTATTAACTGATTTTTTCTTAGTAAATGCTATGGGTGATTTTTGTTAAGCTGGCATGTTCTAGATAGATTCTCTCTTTTACTATTGCTAGTGATATATTGATTTGGTATTCGAATGAGCATTGGTAATCGCATTTTAGAGATGAGAATCTGGATTGATGTTTTAATCTGTGGATCTAGCTACGTTACTCATGTTGTTAATTCTACTGGTTGTAGCTTTGAACTTCATGTTTCCACCACTCTTGCTACTTCTAAGATTCTTTACATTCTATGAGTACTGAGCCTGTGTGCTCTTTCTTCTTTATTGTGGGGGTACCTAAAGACAGCCTTGCTCTCTGTTAGTAGTTGACCTACTATCCTTACCCGATATCATTGATTGCTTTAGCTTTTGGTACATTAGTTCCTTTGGAGTTAGAGTATTTTACAAATGATTCTAGTGCATGCTCTGCGAGTTCTAGAGATTAGTCTGATGATTTCTATCATTCATTCTGAAATGCGATTACATATAACTCTATCCGTTAGTATGAGCGCTGATCACTGGTTGATAAAAGCTAGAATTGCGATGGCTTTCAATAGGTGTTTCAATAAGATTGATTATTTAGGTTTTCTAATTGATGCAATCGAGATTATCTGAAGGAGGCTAAGAATTATGAGAATGGTCAAGGTTGACAACGATACTAGCCATATTGCTTCTGTTAATTGGAGTGATGTTTGATTTGAAAACCATCGAGTTGACCAGGCTTTGTTCTCTCAGAATATCATCTGCTGCTCTTCTCAAATCTTCAATGTCAAAGCCATCATTATCATCGGGCATTGTCGTGGACAAATGCAGATTCTTTTAGTTTTATTTAGTTTATTTAGGATTGAATTTTTGTTGACTTTAAAGCTTTTTCAATTCCTTCAGTAGCTTATCCTGTTCTTGATGTAATATTGAAATCTCTCTCTATTGAATCTTTTCATTGTCATCCTTCAATTCAATTTCATCTTGCAACTTATCAATCAGATTCTGCATATCCTCCATTTTAGCATTCTTTTCTTCCTATAATACCTTCAATTACTGAACTTCTTCTCTTATGACTTTGAGTTGCTCTATAGTTGATCTTAGCTGCTCGTTTTCGTCTTGAACCACCATATAGTCTGCCTCTGCTCTGATTTACTGATGCTGCAGTCTCTCTGAGAAATCTAGACTCATCTCCTCATTATCTTTCTTGAGTTGGTTATTTTCTTCTTTAAGACAGCCAAGTTGAACAGTCAAGTCATAGATCTCTTTATTTTTCTTTTAAAGAGTATCCTCTATCTCTTTTATCTTCTCATTGCTTACACCTGTATTACTTTAAGTAATCTGAATCTGTTGAGATAGTTCTACTCTTGTCTTCAAGTACTCGTTTTCTCTCACCATTGTTTGCTACTTGGATTGCAGATCTTCATAAAGCTGCTTGTAGTTAGTTAGCTCCTCCTAAAGTGTCTCATTAGCCTCTTTCAAAGCTTGAGTATCATGCTCCAATTCAGTGACTTGATTCATTAAGCTATCGTTATCTCTCTTATGGAGGTCAAGCATCTAAGTCAACTCGTGAATGTTCTGCTGATGTTGTGAATTGATGCCATCCAGTTGCTTGAAGGCCTCATTCAACTCTTTTTCCTAGAGCAGGCGTCTTTAGATTTCAACATTCAGCTGGTGATGCATCTCTTGCTTCTCCTTAATCAGGAAGTCTACTTGGTGCTAATGATAATTATGCTGCTAATGGCTAGATTGATGATCAATCGATTGATACATCATTGGATTGGATTGAGGTGGAAAACCTGCTGCGTAGGAACTATTCATGCACATTGGATTGTTGCAAGGACAGGAACTGCCATAAGGTGGAGGTGTGGCTTGGTTTGTCATGCAGTGATGAGACATTAAAGAGTGTTAAGGCTAGCCTGCAAATGTTCTTCTAAGTTACTAGGGAGTATTTATCAAAGTTTGTGAAAGCAAATCATCAGTATTTGAAGCAGCGTAGCTCTGCATGTGATTAAGTTAGAGATGATTTTGGTTTTAGATTCTGAGTTGCATATTACTTGGTGTATTTGAATTGGATGGAGTCTACTGTAGTCTGTGTTCCAGCTGAGATGGAGTTAGATCTCTTCTGACAGGTGTACATGAATCCAAATGCTATCTCTTGCTCTCCCTTCTCTGTTGCTGCTGAGTATTCTACTGACTGCTTAAGATGTTTGCATAGCCATTAGCATGATTGACACTTTGGTGTATATTTGAGTGTCTATTGTAGAAGTTTTAGCCACTCGCAGTTGAACTCAAACCGAAGTTATTCAAAGTCGAGTTGTTCAGATTGTTGCCGTTATCGAAATTGATATTATTTGTGGTGGTAGTCATATTAAGCCCGTTGATATTGGATATTCTCAAAGGTGATTAGCTGTTGTTGTTCTGATGATAGTGGTTGTGCTGCGACTTCTGCTGAGACATCTGCTGCTACTATTAGGAATAGCCATTCATACTTTGCTGTTAATGAAGAATAGGCTGTTGATATTGCTACTGTTACTGTTAATGATGATTGGCGTTAAGATTGTTGATGTTAAATTGCTAAATGCTTAAATTCATCGGATTGTTGATGCTTGATTAGGTCATGTTATTGTTTTGTTGCTGCAGATGAACCTTGTTATAGATATGATGATCTGAAGGCTAGCGTTTTTTTACTATGTTCTTTTGGTATTGTAACAGCGATTGAGTATTCGATCTGGTCAGCTTCATGGATTGCCTTGACTTTGGCTAAGCAGAATGATACTATTGATTTGCTGAAGAGGCTACGACAAAGTCATGTCCGCAGGTGAAGGCTTCGAAGTTCATGTTATCGAGATACTAAAAGTTGCTAGTGGTGTTCTTGCTTTCCTAGAACAAAGACCCAATCTAGTAAGTGAGGTTATTCTGATCTTGAATCAGACCGAAAGAAGTGCCCAGACTCATATCCTTGATGCCAATGTTGTTCTGAATCAGATCCTGAAGCATTTGAGGAGAGTTAAATTGACCAATAGGTGTAGGCCCCCAGATGTACATCTCACCATTGGACAGTAGACAACTTGAGAAATCACTAGCACAGATTTTAGTAATAGTCACTTCTGGTTTCAAAGTAATGTTAGTTATTTAACTGAACACACTCACTTTGTTCACTGTTTGACTCTAACCTAATTAGCCTTAAAGATTAGACCCTGAAGAATAGATAGTTCCTTGCTAAGTTTAAACAATACTGAAAGAGTCTCCACAGCAAACAGATAAAGGACTGAATTCAACATCAAGGAAAGTAGGTGCATTCCTGTTATCAAAATCCCAGAGTCCCAGCTGTCCATACTTATTAGATCCCCACATGTAAAGACTATTCATTTATACATCTCCATTACTTTGATCTACTTCATTTTTCCTTCTAACAATAATTGCGACATGAGCTTTTCCAGTGCTCATATCTAGTATCTCTAGTTATTCTTCATTTTCCTCTTCAATCATAACTTTGATAGGAAAGTGCTAAGGCCCTTCAACAGACCCAATACCAAGCACTCCATCTTTCTCAGATCCCCAACTGAATATGATATCACTTGAATTCGCATCAAACTCCTAAGCACTCATTAATGCAAAAGTCGCATTTCGAGAGCAGCATATCATTTTAACATGATACATTGATAGTGCCTCTACTAATTCTGGAGAAGATAAATACTTAGAAGAAGTTGCTCCCAGACCTAATTAACCTTTTTGATTGGAGCCCATAGTGTATAATTCACCTTCATTTGTGACTAGCGCAGTATGAGATTTACCGCATGATATCTAAGTGACAAGAATATTGAGTTTAAGCAGATGCGGTATCTTAATAACAGATTTCATGCTCGGTTCTATTCCAAGTTACCCGTTTTAGTTTCTACCCCAGACATATAACTCACTGGAACCTCTGGTATTGTTTTTAAGCTGTATTGGCATGATTGAATTTCCATTGCTATTTGTGTTGTTGCTTTTACTGCTCACCATACTACTTTCCTCAACATATGATGATTGCAACATCATTTGCTGATTTTATTATAGCTGATACTATTGTTATTGCTAGATATGAGATGACTTGTGAGAACTTTAATTCATCTAGAGTGGTCTGTTATCATTAAATGCATCTACAATAGGCAGAAGTGAATCAGGCGGCTGATGAGCTTGCACTTGCAATTTACGCTGATTTTCTATTTCAAGATCCTCATCAAATTCATCATCGCTTAATAGATTTATGTGATTTCTCTTCACTGTTGATGGCCTCTTTGTACTTTAATAATTTCCTGAATTTTTGTTAATTTTATGGTTTGTTAGGTAAATATTGCCTAACTATTCTTGTTAAGGCTAATTGTGAAGCACCATAGGAGACATTAATTCAGGATCCTAAATTGTCGAACTATCATTTGAGTTTCTATTACTTGACTACTTGAGTGTGTAATTAAAGTTACCACTGTTATTCTAGTAATTCATGCTCTGATTTTACATATTGTATTAGCCGAAAGAGTGTGTTTGCATTGTTTGATTGAATTGCTAATGATTGATGGAGGAGTTAGCAGAGAAATTATTTGCCTAGTGTTGATCGTTATCAAACATTTTAAAACTTTATATTTATTTACCCAGTTTATTTAACAGCTACAAATCTCACCTCCTCAATTAGTTCAGCATATTTCACTTCTGGGGTTTTGGGGTTTTGGGGTTTTGGGG